CATGTCAGAAAGGTACCTAGTGGTATGCTGATGAACCAGAATGGAAAGAAATTGGTTTTGTTTGACTTCCTTTTAAGAAAGTGTGCAACATAGGGCTTGTTCAGGCTTGAGGCAGCCTTTGTTTAATTGCTGTCCCAAACAGGAACATGTACTTAAAACTTTGTTTCCTTTCAGCATAGGTTTTTTTTGAACCCTCTTTTTTTTTCCATCTGAAAAACAGGCATGAAAGGGGATGGAAAAGTCTTTTAGATTACTTCAGTGATAAGATATGTAGGCATTAACAGTAGTTGTTCATGTGACACCATTAGCCCAGCACTGCACAGGGTTAGAGACCGATAGACTTGAAGCCAGCTGAGCCAGCCAGGACTTCAGGGCCTCAGCTTTCCCTCTGCCTGCCCTCAGGTGGGGTGTCAGATTCCTGAACCCTGCTGTGCATCCCACTGCTGGGCAGCACACACTCTCCTTGCTCAGGGATGTTGCAGGCACAGGAGGTTCTTGGTTTCTGTCCCGTCAGAAAGGTAGTAGTGGTCGCATGGAACTGAAGGGCTTTGGAGTGGCAAAGAAGGAAGACAGAGGAAAGGAGCTGTGGGAGACTGGCTGGGAAGCAATTACCATTAAGATGTATGTCTGCATGTGCAAGAGCTGAATATCAGGTTTTTTAACGCTTTTTAATTCATCTAAAGCTTGACTTTAGACTGCTTTGTGTGAGGCAGTATGTTTGAATTTAATATGGAACTTGGGACTTCCATCTGCAGTTAGTGATGCTCGGTGTCATGCAGTAACCTGTGGGGAGCTTATGCAATAGGAAACTGATGAAAGAGGCAGACCTGGCTCACTGGCACATGTAACACTGCACTCGCTCCACAGCCTGTTGTAGCTACATCTCTGCTGAGCTTCATCTTCACTCTGCAATTCACTTCAGCTCCAGTGCACAGTGATTTTGTCTGACTTGAATGCACTTTTCCTTCTTCCTCTGAGATTTTATGGCTGTTAAAAATGCCAGCATGCAAACCTTTTTGTGTTAGTTCTTTGCACCTTGTTTTGTGAAATCCTTTAGACTTTTTTTATTGTTTTGTTTTCCATGATTGGTATTTCTTTGTTCAATTCAGGTTAGAATTGCCCCTACTGTCACTACCTGGAGTAACAAAACTCCTACTGCCCTTCCCAGCCATCCTCCTGCAGGCTGTCCCTCTGACACACAGGTATAACCTTCATTTTTCTCTGAGCCTCTGCTCCACCCCAATATGTCCCCTGGTGTAGTCTGTGTGCTTGACACAGTCTGGTACGGATAGGCGGAAGGAGCAGCTTCCACATGTGCTTTGGTTTTGCTCCTCTGTCTCATGTTACTTTTTTCATCAACGCCCAGATAAGTGGCTCTGGAAAGCCTTGAGTGGGTGCTCAGTGTGACCTGAGCCCATCCAGCCCTTGTCCCTCACTGGAATATTTGAAGTGCGATGATATTTTTCCTTTCCCTCTTCCTTATGGAAATTAGAAGCTTCAGAGTTAGCATTTAAGGTGTTAAAGCTGTGGATGGCAGGGCACTCTTGGACTGCCTGAATAACAGGCAGTGCTGGCAAGGACCTCTTCCTTGTGTGGGAAGGTGTGTGCTGCTCTGCTGCTGCTGAGGTCACTGCACATACAGGCTGTGCTTTCTGTGTTATGCTGGGCGCCCTAAGGCACTGGGGTGGTTGGAGGCATTTGCCCCTGTGCTGGTGGCTCTTCCAGGGAATGTGGTTTCAGGCCTTGAAACTGATCATTTAGCCCTGCATTACTGTTGCTGACTAAATCCTATCTCCCCCTACCCTTTCTCCTGCAATCTTATTTTACAGGGAGACAACCCACCTCCTCCAGGGTTTATCATGCCAGGTGCCATTAACCCCAACGTGACACCGCAGCAAGCCACCTCTTCCAGTTACAGCATGTATTCACAAGCAGGGGCCCGGCCAACGTACCCACAGAGTGAGTAGGAACAACTGCCCTCTTGTTCCCACCCAGGTGGGCCAGCCAGGTGATGAGGCCACATTTACTTGGGGATAGCCAGTACCCTCTTTGGGGTTGGGAGGGTTCAGGCCAAGCCAGTCCCACATTTCTTGAGGGGAAAAAAACTCATGAGGTGACATCTGAGGATTGTCATTTCTTGTGGTCCAGACATCAGGCACCCTCTGTCAGACCCTGTCTCCTCTGCTGAGGTGTCTGCCCACAGCTCTTAGATTCATTCCTCAGCTGGCCCTTCCTAAGGGTGTATTGGGGTCAGAAAGCCCCCAGTGTGAGTCCTGGAGAAGCAGCATGGGCCTGACAAAGAGGGACCCAACTCATCTGTGTGCAGCTGGGCCATCCAGTTCTCACTGGGACTCCATGAAGATGGGAAAGGGGATGAGGAGATGAGGGCAGTAGTAGAGGTGAGTGAGGGAGGGGGAGGAACACTGAGACTCAAAGCAGGGGACTGAAAGTACAGGCACCAGGGAGGAAAAAATGGGCATAAATGGGCAGAGAAAAAGAGGCAGTGAAGTTAAGCTGCAGGGCCCACAGTGGAAGGCTGTGAGCTTGCATTCACTTCCAGACACTGCTGTCACTTCCTCGGACTAGGCCTTCCCTTTTTGTAAACCTGGGGGAAGGGTTTCCCTTGCCTGAGAGGCACTGTGAGGATTGCAGTGGTCCAGAAAACAGCCAAAGCAGCAGCATCCATGTGCCCCAGCCCCACCTGGAATGGCATGGTGGCTCTGGGCAGGAGAGTCTGTGTGGGAGAATGGGAGTCCTTACAGCCAAGGCAGTACTTTCTCTGCCTCCCTGCTCCTAGTGGCAGGCTGACATTTTGAGCATTCCTACAAGTCTAGGCAGAGTTGCAGGAGACAGGATTTGGCTGGGCAGGTGAGCGGTTTGAGGGGAAAGGGGTGGGAAGAGAGGAGCGTCAGGTGGAGAAGGAAGCAGAGGCAGATGAAACCTGCTCCTCTGTTATGAACTTACTGACTGAATGTCTTTTCTCCCTGTTTGTAGCGTATCAGGCCACACAGCAGTACTCTTGTGGAACAGGGGGACCAGCTGTCTATCAGCCTCAGCAGCCTGTTGCTGTCCCTGCTTCAGCTTCTTACCTGAACCATGCCCCTAACACTACCCCTCTCTACCTGCCCTCTGCCCCTGCCCACTCTGTGCCCTCCCCGCTGTACCCCGGGCAGCCTCAACCCTCCCCAACAAGCCTGAATCCCATCTCTTCCTTCCCTCTTCCTCCTTCTGGCGCATCCTTTCAGCATGGACTTCCAGCAACTTCTGTGGCTTATGCATTACCTTCTGGACCAACAGGTACTCTGCCTGCAACCAGTGACCTTCCTGCATCCCAGAGAACAGGTCTGCGCTTGGACAGGGGGACAGGCAGGGAGGGGGAGGGTTTTGCTTTATTACTGATGCAGTTAAATGTGCACCTTTTCCTTGTGAATGCTCCATACAAAGTTTGCTTGTGCTTACAGGTCAATGCAAAGCATTTCTAAAACACATAATCTTCCCTGTGCATCTGGCAATGATACGGCTGCATTACTGCCGTGAGCACTGGCTAAGCACCATGAGCAGTCATCGTCCTCTTGCAAGTCAGACCTTGCCACAAACACAAACTTTTGTCTTGTCCATGACAGGGTGCTACAGCATTGTCTTGTTAGGAGGCTGTCAATACTGTGGATGGATGGTGGCACAGTTTTAACCTCGTGAGGCTGGTGTCAAAACCTGCTACGTGGCTGGAGAGCAAAATACAAAAATGAGCAAGTTTTTTTAATTGCTACAGAGAAGATGATCCCAACTCTCACAGAACAATTTTGTAAATGTAATTTGTCCCTAGTTTGTGAGTGGCATTTCAAGCCTGGGATTGGCAGCATATTTAATTCAAACCGTGTTTCCTGTGGCATCAGCTCACTTCCAGTATTTTTTCTTAACCACTTAGTGCAATGGGGTTTACTGTAGCTGTGAATGTCTTAAGATAATTAGAAGTGATTTAGAAATGCTTTTACAAGTGTCTCTCTCAAAGGCATGTGTGTGTGGCTGACACATAAGAGCATGTTTGAGCATGCACTGAGGTGGGGCTCAGTGTCTCCTTGTGCCTGGACGTAATTGTTTGCTGTAGGACAGTGACCTCGCTTGTGATAACAAACCTGTCTCTTCACTTAGCCTGTGAAACAACAGCTTTGCATACATCAGCCTGTGCGGGAAGTACAAGCGGTCCTTTTCTAAACCTGCCCATAAACATATTTCACATCCAGGTGGTTCAGCTGGAGAGTCAAGGACCACATCTGAGAAGTAGGAATCAGAGAACATTAGGCAGGGTTTGAGGGATGTTCCAGGGATGCTGACTCTGCTGACAGGCCCTAAGGACCCCACTGTGACTCTCTCTCTTCTTTTAAAAGCCTGTTAGGGGTGATGCAGTGCAAGAAAGGCATAGTGCCTTTGTCTTGGCAGCAGCAGTCCTATGAGTAGGGTGCTCCTGGCATCCATGAGGCTGGGAGCTTACATGTCTCATGGTATTGCCTTAACACACATACACTTGTGTTTTGGGGAGACATGGTCTTTTGCTCTGTCAAAAAAGAGGGAACTGGTATAAGGCAGACGCCTGGGCTGCAAGGGGAGAAGAGGCCTTTTCCCTCCATTCTGCAGCCAGATTCGTTGTCCTCTCTGTTCTTGGAGATGCTGTACTGTGACCTCTTCTGACCCCATGTTACAGGGCATGTCAAACTTGTACCTCTAAGCCAGAGGAATTATTAAATTGGACAGAGGAAGAGGGGTTGGATAGGGTTCTATGTGTGGGATGTGAAGCAGCACATTATGATGCAGACAGCATAGCTTCTGCACCTCCAAATAAATGCAAGGAACAAGAAAATGGTTCTCTCATTCATTTTACTACTCTACTTGTGTCACTGGCAGGCACTTCAGATGTGTCACTTTCTAAGTTTCTTGCATTAACAGTGAAGTGACATAGTCCATGTGGCATGATCAGAGCAGGTGAAGCTCTACTCTGGATGATAGAAATCAGGGACATTAATGATAATACTGGTCAATTTGTAAAATCATGTAATCCACATAGACAGTAGTCTAACACATAGAATCATAGAATTGTTTAAGTTGGAAAAGGCCTTTAAGATCAAGTCCAACTGTTAACCTAACACTGCCATCCCACCACTAAACCATGTCCCTGAGCACCTCATCTATGCATCTTTTGAATATCTTCTGGCATGGTGACTCAACCACTTCCCTGGACAGCCCATTCCAATGCTTAACAACCCTTTCAGTGAAAAAAATTTTCCCAATGTCCAACCTAAACCTCCCCTGGTGCAACTTGAGGCCATTTCCTCTTGTCCTATTGCCTGTTACCTGGGAGAAGACACCAACACCCACATCTTGCCTGTGTCATTTTAGTATAAGGGGAATTGAAGCGGTTGTTACCCGCATTGCCTTGCCAGATTTTCCTTCAAAATTAAAAGTTCTCCATACTAGGTTTCTTATAAAACTTTGAGAACTATCGGTGCTGCTTGTGTTTTTCCCAGCAGCTGTGCTGAGAAGGCAGCCAGCCCAAACTTGGGCATCATCTCTGATTCCTGGCAAACGCCAGCCTTGGGCTGAGATGCAGAGGTGGACTCCAGGGCATGGTGAGGTGGTGAGACCAGGTGGCTCATATGTGTGGGCTGCTGGCACGTAACTGCTGCCTGCAGCTGGAGAACTATGGAAACAAGTAAGACCTATCAGAAGAGCACACTCTGTCCTCTTCCAATTTTTAGATTGCACCCCTCAAAAATATAAAAACAAGAAGAAAAAACCCTACTTGGTAAATGCAGAAATTAAAAATGTAGATGCTTAATATGCTTAACCGCCAGCGTATTTTCTAGAGTAGCTGCATTGCTTAGTGAAGGATGCCTTGGTATGAGATCCCATAGAACCACAGAAATCTGCAGCCAGAAGTAGATCTCACCTGTAACTCTGAATGTTCCAGTGCAGAGCATATAGTGATGCTGATCTTGGCTTTAAAGTGGTGTGCTTTTGTATGTGGTGATGATCTAATCTGGGAACATCATGTTTCACTTCGCAAATGTGATTCATTTAAAGGTGGGGGTAAGCTAGGAAGGAAATAAAGATCTCAAATTTGAAGTCTTGAAAAGCACCTGACCTTTGAACTAGCTTGGGTTTAAAGATGCACTTAAAAAAGAAACAGTTCTAGAAATACCTTCTGGTTTTTGCAAATGCATGTAACATCAGTATGTTAAGCTGTGCTTGGAGCTCCAGTAAGTAAGAAAAGCCCATGTTTAATTTCATTTTTAATCTATCTCACTTTGTTTTGTAATAGATCTTTGAACCTGCTTTCAAGGGAGTTTTAATATTCAGAGTCTTGAATCTTGTTTGAAATTGTAATATAGCAATTCTGAGCAAAGGGAAGGGTTTGTACCAGAACTATAAGTGCATCAGACCAACGCCAGGGACAGGAGTTATCTCATCCCTGACATTCTTCTTCTCTTCAAAAATGGCAAATGCTTTATTGTCTCTATTTTGCCATCTGGATTTGTCAGTCGGAGTAAGCAGTGTGTCTTTTCACACTTTTTTTTTTTTTTGCTGGGCTGGATGCAGCCTTGGTTTGGGAAAATACTTGACGTCCACCTTGAAGTCAAGTGCTTTCAGCATCTCCTGAAAAGCTTTCTGGAATGGTAAGACGATGGTGAGAAGATTGTTGCTAAGAGTAATGGCCTGTCAGCTGCACTGGCTGGTAGGAATAGAAAAAGAGAACGCTGGAAGAGATAAGGATGTGGGTCAGGACTCTGCAACATTTGTTAGAAACAAGTAGAAACAAGGAAAGAGTAGCAGGCTTGTTTTCAGGGAAGGCAGACAAAAGCAATTCAACAGGATGATTTGGACAAATGATTTGTCTCTAAGCTGGCATTGTAATTAGGTTAAGCACTTTTTCTCCTGACTTCCCTTGCTTATTGAAACTAAACTGCTAATCAAAAATTACAGACCAATTGTTTATTATTTTTGAGGAAAATCTTTTTTTTAGTTCTCTTTGCATTTTATCTGCAGAAAGCCTACCAACTCAAGACCAGGCCTGTCCCTTCACAGGTAAACTAGGTACAACCTAACCTGAAAATAATTACAGCCACTACCTGACGTTAATTGAACAGACATCAATAATGCATATGTTCCTTAGAGAACATTTAAGTGCGATTCTGTTTGCCAATTAGACTTTAATCAAATAAATTTTTAATTCCTTAATCAAAGCCAATAACAACATATCTGGAGTTTTTAACCACAGAAACAAATGCTGGTTTTCCTTTTTTGAAGCTAATTGTTCCAGGAAATTAACAGCAGCAACAGTCTGGGAGATTTTCTTAACCTGTTACTACTGTCAGCACTGCAGAAGTTAGACTTCCTATATCAGAAATACTCTGCGATTTTCTGGATAGGGAGGAACAGTGGAACCCCCAGGGCACATGGCTGTTGGGAGATGGCACTGCCTTTGGTTAAAGAGAAAGCATTGTGAAAGGGTTTTAAATTATTTTTCATTTACTCCTTTAACATGCTCTGGGTGTGGAACTTGTTTAACAGAAGCTCAGGAGCAAATGAAATTTCAGATAAATTGAGCAAATTCTGCAGTGATGTTAAGCTCTGCTGTCTAAGGTGAATTCATCATCTAAGTGAAAAAACACTGTGGTGAAAAAGTCCATTGAGTAGGGATTTGGTTTTGTTGGCTTTTTGTGGCTTTGTGCAATAAACCCTGATTACTCAGCCCTGATGAGATGGGGAATGATTTATAATGAGCTAACGTGAGTTTTGGAGTACAAATCTTGCAGCTGCATGGAGCGTGCTTTCTTGGAAGAGCAGAAGGTTTGGTATAGAACAACACCCCAGACTCTGAATGCATCTGCTCAGACATCCTCTGTGCTTCTTTCAGTTTCAAACAAATTGCCTTTGGTGCAAAAAAGCTAGTTTTTGCCACCTTGCTCCAGCAGCTTTGCTTTTGGGACACAAAGCACCCATAACCATGCTGTAGCTGGCAGGGGAAACCTAGTTTTACGGCTCTCTTGTCTCCAGAGTGGCTGGGTGAATCTGGCGTGAGATGTTTAAGGCTCCTGCTGTCTCTTATGCCTCTTCTGTGTTGTGTGGCTGGGGAACATGTCTTAACTGTCATGTGTAAATCCATCGCAGTCGCAGCAGCAGCTCTTGGGAAGTGGATGCAGCTTAATGGTGTTCTTATTCACCCATGGTTTCTGACATCTCTGCTGTGGATTAATGTTTATAATACTGTTACAGTGATCATGGGGGAAAAAAAAAAAAGCAGGAAACTGGTTCTCATGTTTTGTTGTATGACAATACAGATGCGAGAAACTTTCACTGGTAACTGAAGCTTTCTTCACATACGCAGTCTGTGTAGCAGAGCTGTGTTTTGGGCATGGTAGGCAACTGCCTGCCTTTTCAAAGGGTGTGTCTGTGCAAAGTTGTTTTTTTTTTCCTGTGAGAGAAGAAAAAGTTAACTATTAGTAAAAAAATCCTGACAAACTGGTCAAGATGCCAAACCTGCACAGTGGGTGCAGAGCCTAAAGAGTCTGATGGCTGGGGTATTGGGAGGCTCTGGCTGGCGTGAGTGCTGTTCTGGCCCCCTGTGAAGGGCAGGGGAGCAGGCAGGTGAGGGCTCTGCCAAGCCCCTGCCAGTAGAGCTGTGGCAGGGAGTGGGCCCCACTGAGCTCAAGAAGGCATCACTGCCTTCCTCCAAGGTACTTACAGTCTCTGTTTTCTTTCTGTACCAGGGCCACAGAATGGCTGGAACGACCCTCCTGCTCTGAATAGAGCTGCCAAGAAGAAGAAGGTACTCTAGGAAATCATCTCTTGACACAATTGAATGCTGACCACTGCTGAAAAGCAGTAACTTAGGCTGCTTCTGAGAAACTTGTTGTTAGGAGAAGGAAAAAGAAGGGTTAGCAGCAAACAAAAGTGGCACCTCATGAACAGAATAGCCTTTATGCCTCTCCAGTATGCATTATCTCCCTCAAAATATTTAAGCCTCTAAAGACATGGTGGCTTTTTGCTGAAGTTATGGTTGTTACTAACAACATTGATGCTGGTTTCAGGGAAGAAAATACCTCAGACTATTTTCATCTGCAGTAAAGCAGATGAGTTTTGGAAGAGATGCTACTTATGTGAAATGATGAGGCCATGCAAGTAGTTACAGATTACTGACTTTGCTGGAGCTGAAAGCAATTTATCCTGATTAAGGGTCTGACCCTGAGAGATTTGCTGAGAGTAAGACCATTTTTGTGATGGAAACAATGCAGTTTTGTAAAACAGATTTAGATTGTAGTAGGACAGAATAACTGGGGATGGTTGGCACAGAGCAGAGTGAGCCTTTTCACCCCCTGGTGCTGCTGTAGTCTTGCGTATCTCCACAGCTGTCAGTGTCATCTGCTGCTCTGAGCCTCATGCATTTGGGAAGCAAGAGTCACTCTGGAGTGTGTAAAGAGTGGGGAGAAAAAAAAAAGGTTGGAGCCAGGAAGATAAGGTCTGGGTGAAGATGAAGGCAGAAGTTTCCCTTACTCTTTGGGGTTTGGACTCTGCAGTTAAGATTAAAAAGCTTTTGGAGAATGGATAGGGGATGCTTTGTGTGCTCCTGACTACCCCAGTTCTGTGATGTTTGTCACACAGCAGCTGGCATGCTGCCTTTTGGGGCTTCAGGCTCCTAAGTAGGAGGAAAGTTGTCAGTAAGAATAACTGCTGGACCTGAGGAGCTCAAGAGGCAGCCTTGTGCAAACAGGGTTTTTGCTACTGTTGTGTGTGTGTCACAGCCAGAATTTCTGCCAGGGCTTGTGGGTTGGCTCCCTTCTAAATGAGGAGTCATGTTTGCATTCCCTGTTGGGTATTTAACAAACCTCTGTCAGAAATGTTTCTATGTTTGTTTCTCTTTCATCCACTGTATGAGGGGGTGGTTTAGGATATTATAAAATGACTCACCACATGTAAAGTAGAAGAACTGTCTGGCATTTCAGGCCGCAGCATAATTTGCAACTGTTTTCCACCTAACTAAGAACTTATCCACCACTCAGAAGTTTATTGTTGTGATTCATCGCTTTTATAACTGACTTTGGTACTGGGTTGGGAATATTTTTCTTACTGTCCCAAACCACTAGCTTAATTCTGGCATCATTTATTCAGGGTAGCATTCAGGGTTCTGTAATCTTTCCTTTTTTCCATGTGTGCCCAAAGAAATGTGCACATTCCCATGGGAGCTCTTTGTTTTGTTTAGATTTCCTGTATGATGTAGCAGAGGCCAATAGCTCATTTTGTTTCTTCCCTCTACCAAATGTTTCCAGAACACCCCTGTGTAAAGACTGGCAGATGCTTAGGGATGAACCTGAAATGTGCTCATAATCCATCTTAGTACAAACCTGTTTGCCAGAAGTTTGAAAGGCTTTCAGAAGCTTTATTGGTGTGTGTTGCTAGCTGTGACCTATGTACTGCATGGACAAAAATGTACCATTGAAAGTGAGACACAAAAATCTAAATATAATGACCCAATAGTAAAAATAGATGTAGGTGTGGGTTAGTTTTCATTACTGCAACTCTGTTTCTGTTAGTGCTGGTCTGTCAAACCACTGTTTTGTGCCCTTAGCAGAGGGAGAGTGGCTCTGATTTGAGGTGGCTGTACTCAGCTCTTGTGGCTGCTCCTGCCCTGTGCGAGCAGAGGAACAGGCAGAGCATGCGGGACTGGAAGTGCCCCAGGGCACTTCTTACTGTGCAGCTGCAGCCGGAGGAATGGGTTTGTTTAGCCAGAATGAAATCCTGTATTGCCTGCCCCTGTTGTTTCTATATCCTGGGGTCTCAGTCTTCTGCTTGGTAGAGCTTTCAATTGCTGCAGGTTGGGAAGTCTGTAGGAGCTGAGTGTGCTCTGCCTGTGGCAGCCACGGCACCATAAATGCACTGTTTGTTTTTTCCCCAGGTCCCTGATAACTTCCTGCCCCCAGTTCCCATAACCTCTCCCATCATGAACCCGCTGGCGGATCCACAGTCTCAGATGCAGCAGCCTCCAGCTCCAGCACCACCCACGGGTGCACCCAGCTTCCAGCCTCCATACCTCCCCACAGGGCAGCCAGTGCTGCAGGGTGGCTACCCACCTGCTCCCCAGCCCCTGGGGCAATCCATCATGCCACCCGCTGTTTCCAAACCCAGCACGGAGGGGGCTCCTGGGGCCCCAATCGGCAATGCCATCCAGGTAATGTAGCCCCAGCACTGCATGGTTTTGGTTTGTACATCAGTGGAGCTTTGTAGGCTGGGATCCTGTTGGCCAGGCATTTCTTGTACCTCTGAAGCGTACTGCAGAGTGTTCAGTCACTAGCTTTGCACCATGCTGGCATTTGCTACTGTAATCTCCACCTAGCCGCTACCTCTTTGCAGTATGAACCTCTAGTCAGTATGGACCAACAAGCTGCTTTCTTCTGTAACTTCACAGCTCTCCAGAGGGAGCGACAGTAGATGCTGATAATGTTACATCCACACACCCACAGGAAAGAAACAGGAGCTGTGCCAAGCTAGCTAATAATGCCACTTGGTTTAGTTGAAAAAAAACAAGTGGTCACAGTGACCTGGGAAAGCCTCATCTGCTCTCTGTTTCTCAGCATGTGCAGGCACTGCCAACAGAGAAGATTACCAAGAAGCCCATCCCTGAGGAGCACCTTATTCTGAAGACTACATTTGAAGCTCTTATCCAGAGGTGCCTGCTGTCTGCCTCTGATCCGGTAGGTCTCTGTGGTGTTCCCAGAGTACTCCTGTGTTTGGGTGAATGCACTGGTACCTACAGCACAGCTAGCCATCACAGCCTCTCCTGAGACAGCTTTTTTTTTTCCTTTCTAAAGGCTGCTTTGAACAGCCACAAGCAATGTGTAGAAAAGCCATATGCACATAGGATGTGGCAGTCTGGGGCCAGAGCACAGCCCAGCTGCCCAGGCACTTTGACTCTGGTCCTTACAGCCCTCAGCATGGGCAGAGCACGGTGGTGCAGTTTATGAGTGGGGAATTACACTGCAGCCCACTCTGCTGCTCTCTTCTAAGGAGATGGTTTGGACTTGGTCACAGTTGAGGTTTTGATGTTGATGGTTAAAAAAAATAAATTAAAAATTCTAAAGCCTTCAGAAAGGGCTGTCCTTCCTTCTCTCAGGTGATCACTGTGGAGGCATGCCCTGTACATTTGCCTAACTGCTCCTTATAATTCAGAGCAGGAAGCAGCTGGTACTATGCCAGGTCTGAGCCGATGCTCACATACATGAGTACCTGCCTCAGATTTTGATTTGTGATATGTGATTTCTGATAACAAACTAATTTCAAAAGGAAACAATGGGTAGCAGAGTAGAAGGTTATGAGCTTTAACATGACCACTGGAGCTGGATAGGAAAAAATTCCTGTGGCAGTCAGTACTTTGTAAATGAGCCATCCATCTCAAAGCTTCTCATTTATTTCCAGTGGTCAGTAAATAACATGCTACCCCAAAGTCCAGATGCTGACTGTTCATGTGCTGAAAGGGGGGTGATGAAAAACAGGCTGGTGGTGTGCAAAAGGCTTTGTGCACAAATTGTGCTGCTTACCAAGCACAACTCACACTCCTGTGACAATGGACTGGGAGCTGAGCTGTCTGAGGGCTCTGTGGCAGGGACTGTGGGAATATATTTGGGCATCTGGTGTCACTTCTGTGTGCTATACAATTTCAGCTGACTCTGTAGTTTAGACTTGACACTTGCATGTATGTACTCCTTTCCACTGTGGGTCTCAGCCCGGCAGTTTCAGGGTGAACTCACCCACGCACTCCTTTGCAGAAGCTTTTTGAGGCCATAAGCCTTTCTTTGGACAGACCTCATAAGGTTCAGTAGCATTCAATTGCTCAAAATCCTTTCTTTAAAGGTTAGGCTGTAGAGTGCAGGGACAGTAGTCATATACTGCATGGACCCTCTGACCTTTTCTTCTTCTGAGTGGCCCTTCTCCCAGACACACAAAGAAGGCAAAAGCGTTCAGTTCACATCTGCACCCAGGGATTGCTTTTCTGCTCTGTCAATGCATTTTGCTTGCTTCTCTCTGATTTTCTTAGGCAGAGCAAGCATTTCTGGCACACAGTGCTGAGACACCGCCCTGAGTGCATACATCAGTTATTGTCAGAACAAACGCAGATGCTACTCAGTTACTACATTCCAAAGGGGCAAATGGGAACAGGAAGCAAAGAGTGAGGAGAACAACCAGTTTGCACTTCTTCCACCTAATTTCCTTTGGCTGGAGAGTTGTCTTGCTGATCACTAAACACAATTTATTCCTCTTTGCCTTAGCTAACCTTCTGTAAAATGAAAATGTACATCTTTTCACAGATTTTGAAACAAATGTTCTAAAATCATGTATCTGAGAGTGAGCCCACTTCTTACCTGCTCCTCCTGGGGTCTTCTTTCCTTACTTGGTGCAGTTCCTTGACAATGTAAATACTGCTGAGGGGTTTCCCACGCATGGCCTGAGATCCACATGCTGTATTCTCCTTTATGCCTTCTGCCATCTGAACAGCTTTCCCTAATTTCTAGCACAGCACGTGTCTACCAGTCTGCCCTTACCCCTGAGCTAGAGCATTCCTGTCGGCTTTGTTATTTTCTCCCTGGGCAATTATTTAATCCAGGGAAACTGTTCCAGTTGCTGGGGGAAATAACACTGTCCTAAGTGAAGATGGATTGATGTGCATACTAATTTAGGAGGAAGTTCCATTACTCTTGTGCACTGCTACTACTGTTGACCAGCACCTTTTTTGTGCTTCTGTAATTGTAACCTTGATGCTATATTACTGTTTTATTATTCTGGATTAAAATCTTCAATTTCTGTAGCTGTTTGTTTAAAAAAAATAGTGGATAAAAATGCATTTCTCCAGCAGCTGCTGTGACACTCCAGGTGAAATATACTTTGGTGGCAAAATAATTCCAGACACATCAATGGGTGGTTTACTTTATATAAAATCAGGGAAGCACAAAGGATCTGTATGGACAGTTTGGATTAGGCTATTAGTTTTTCTATTGACAGTAGAAACTTACAAACTCCTCTTTTTACTAATCACATAATGAAAAATATAATCAGGATTTGCCATAAATTATGACAGAGTTGTACATACTTAAACTTCAGTGACCACATGTGCCCTTAAGCTCTCATTGATGTTTCTGGATACTTGATTCCAGTAATAACTTTATCTAGCTATCATTATGCTTTGCCAGTGAGCCATATTCACTGTGTGAATTTTGTGTTGCAACTCAGAATTCTGTCACTTTCCATATCAGCTATATGAGTGGGTTTTGCAAATGACCAGTAGCTTTTGGGATGTACCTCTACAGTTTACTATTCTCTGTAGTGAACTAGAGTGGTTTACATATGGAGAACTACAGTCATATCACATGGACTTTCCTAGCAAAATCAGGGGAGAAAAGTACAGAGCAAAGAATTCAAATGATGTGTTAGGAAAATGTTGAGAAAGGAATTTCATGTGCTGCATAGACTTCTCTGCAATGATATCAGATCAGTAGTGTTCTTAAAATTGCTGTGTTAATGTATTTTTTCTCTTGCAGCAAACAAAGAGGAAACTAGATGATGCAAATAAACGCCTAGAGTTTCTATATGACAAACTTAGGGAACAGACAGTAAGTTCTGTTTTAAATTTCCCCCTCTCCCCCATCAAATATTGCAGGTATGGCCAATAACTTCATCGGTGGTGTGGACCCCTCTGCAATATGTAGCAGGTGTTTGTTTCCTTGTCAGATGTGTGCTTCAAATCCACTTACTGTATGTTTCCATGCGTTTCCCAGAAATGGATAGGTAGAGTGCTTGATCCCAAGTGCCTGTGCAGAATCTGTAGTGCTTTGGGGTCATGTCATGAGTTTTACAGTGCTGTGCAGGGACTGCACTGAGCCAAAGAGCAGAGCTCCTTGAAGTAGGCACTGGGTGAATGCATCTGGAGGGTGCCTGTCCCCAGCTGCTGGCAGAATGAACCAACACAGCAACTTTCCCTGCTCCCAGCAGGAAGTGAGACACACGCAGCCTGGGGTCATGTTGGAGGCTCACTGACTTCACTGGAAGGTAGATGTGCAAGTACTTCTGAAGATCTGGTAATTTTTCCAAAGCCTTCCAGGAGGTCTGTGGCAGAATAAAGGACTGGGCTTAGATCTCCTAGTACTTGAGGATTAGAGTGGTCTAATCCTGTTATTGTCAGGCCATCTTTGCCGAGTAGTTAACTTTACCCCAAAGGCATAAAAGCTCAGTAGGTTTTTCTTGTGCCAGTCTGTCACAGCAGGTCTCCCACCTCAGGGAATTGCATCCAGGGCAATGAAGGCTTGCAGGACTTTGCAGTACTGCAGAGAAGGTACATTCTGGTGAAGTCTGCTGTTAGACTTCCCAGTGACTGTTCAGTGTGTGGTGCAGCTCTGAAGATGGCTGTCTTTAAAAAAAGGAACTGATTGCTGCACCTTCTTGAGGGCCAAATGTTACACTTAAGATTTCTGGTTTTTCTAGCACTAGCGTATGTGCCATTTTTTCTTTCTGCTGACCTGTATTGCCTGGCTTTCTTGCAGCTCTCTCCAACCATCATTAGTGGTTTGCACAACATCGTGAAGAGCATTGAAACCCGCAATTACCAGGAAGGACTGAACATCCACACGCACATAGTCAGCACCAGCAACTTCAGTGAGACCTCTGCTTTCATGCCTGTTCTGAAAGTTGTCCTCACCCAGGCCAATAAGCTGGGTGTCTGAAGTAACCCTGCATTTGCAAAGCCTTGACGGTTGCTTTTCCAAAGAAGTGCATTTCTACAGCAAACATGCAGGATACGGACCAAATGCTAGTCCTTACGGCATGTTGCAGTAGAGTGCTGACAAATGGCATTACACTCTCCCTGCAAAATACTTTGTTCTAGGAGGGCCATGGAGCCCTGGTGCTTTTCTTCTTATTTTAATGCTGTTCCTGTCCCTAATGATTCTTCTCTACAAATAGTATATTTAATGGATGATGGCCCCATATTGTCAATTTTTAGATGCATGTTATACTGCTAAACAGTGGCTTTTAATAACAGATATACATATTAAAACAAGATAGGTTGTGTATCAGACCCTAAAACAGATTATTCCCTTCCACCCCACTGTTCCTTATCCACCAGATTAAAGAGTCTGATTGTATTGTAAGTGTATTTGGTCTTTCATTTTATGAAACTGCCTGGAGTTATGTTAATAGCTTAATTTTGCACTGGGGCAAATGGGCAAACTAAGGGCTAATGTGATATTTTCAATAAATGTTAATTTATTAAAATGTGTCCTTATGAAGTGCAACTTAGATATTTAGAACCTGTACTCACAGTGGGGCAGCTTTCTGTTGTGTCCTAGGTGTGAGGTTATTATTTTTCTTTGCCATACGCATCACTAAAAGCTCTGTTTAACATTTATACTGAGAAATTTACATTTCAAGGAAAGGTTTAGCATGATTCTGAACACATCTGCATGTATTTTTAAAAGCTAAGAGCAGAAATAATGCAGAGTGGTTTTAAGCCACCCATACAGACTACACGGATATTTAGTGTGTAAACAAGGTGCATGTTGTTTCTTGCAGTCCCCTGAACCCAGAGATTGCGGCCTCTGCTGCCCTGCTTACCCCTGCGAGGGCATGCTGCACTGTGAAACTGCGAGCTGGGTTGGGTGAGTTTCATGGCATGCTGTCCTTTCCTCTGGCACAGTCGGAGTTGGCTTTAAGTTTTAAAAATTTGAAACAGTGTGCCATGAATAGCAAGTATGTCTAGGAAGAGCAGCATTTGGAAGCAATGTCCAGGATTTTTTAAAAAACACAGTTTTGCCTGAAAACTACCTAAAATATCAGTGCCTGTGGAATGTAGATCTGGCAATATATACTGCAAGAAATATTATAAATAACAATGCAAATCATTGCTGAGTTCTGTGACTTAAACTGATTATGAGTTACAGATTTGTCAGGCAAAGCAGTTCCATTCCTCTAACAAAACTGAGCTTAACTTTATTTCCTTTCCAGCATTTTTGACCTCATAAGCTTTTATAACTGGTGAACATAAAGCATCAATTTGGAGTTGCTTTGTTTCAGGAGTTTAAAAAACTGGAGTAATTTTCTTCCCCTTGATCTAGGTTATAGGTTTCTAAGCAGTGTTCTAAGTAGATTGCATTCTGCTCCTGTCATTCGGAAGGTTTGCAGGTATCCTCCTTTATTTGTCCCTGGCCTTAATAAAAGCCCCTTGCCCAGGAGGCTCCAGTATTGGCTGAATTGCATCAAAAATGCAAAGTGTGTTAATGCTGCCAGAAACTGGTAATAAGGAAATAGCAGTCTACCTCAGTGGGGAAAACATTTAGGTCACCAGCTCTACTCCTGATTGCTGGGACCACATTATCTGGTAAATGTTCCACAGCGCCTCCTGATGCAGATGAGAATGGTAACAGCTTGGTGTGCTCCACTTTCCTCCCCTGGGGCTGCATCTATAGCAAAAGCAGCATTGGGACAGCTTAGTACCCCAGGATCCCTGCACATGTGGGAAGGACTGCTGTGCTGAACTTGAGTATTGATGCCTCCCTCAGCAAACTCAGCATGGTCCGGCCAGAGAAATGCAGACCCTTGTGTCTTGACTCAAGGTGGGAAAGAACAAATTTTAAAAGAAAGAGCACATTCAAAAGTAAATGGGAATTAAAAAAAAAAAAAAAAACTCAGTAGGGTGGAAGGCCCGTGTGCTGGGCTGGCCTGGTGTTTGTGATATGCTGTTTAGCATGTAAAGGAAAGCAGAAGAGAATCTTGATACTTCAGGACTAAACTGGTGGATGGGAGGTGCTGTGAGAAGGGTAGAAGGGGAATTCAGAAGCTGGTCTTGCATATGCTCTCACTGAGTGTTTTTGGGATGGTGTTTCTTTGTGAAGCTGGCTCTTCTGGCAGTAACAGCTGGGGAGACTGACAGCAGTAGCAGAAGTGGGGTGGGCTCTGGTAGGTGCAGTGGGCAGGGCTGCGGGCAGAAGCCTTGCTGTAAATTGGAAGGTCTTAAGAGGAGCAGCAGGACCTGACAGGATTAGCTGGGAACAGCTCCTCAGTGTGATGTGGCTTTGTAAAAGCCACGGGAAGTAATGGCATCACACAAGCTTTCGTGAGGCTTCCATCCATGCAAAAGAGGATGCCAAGTGAGAAAGGACTCAGCAAGGCATGCAGATGTCAGGGACCGAAGGGAGAGACTAAAAAGACTGAAAGGAAAGCTGTCCTCTGCCTTGGCCATCCTCAGGAGCAGAAAACTGCCCTGCCCAAGTACATAACAGGAGTGGATACAAAAATCTCCTGAGAGCAGCTGAGATGAATAATAATAGTTAATCAGTTATGCTGCCGTCTGTTTGTATCTTCAAGGAATGCCAAGCAATTAGCCACCCATCTGATGTTATAAATGCAAATGGCCATCTTCATTTACAGAAGGCAATGAAGCCCTGCCAACTTATGCTGGTAAAATAATTTGGCCCCAAATAGCCTAATTTTGATCTCACTGAGTAGGAAGAGATTTATACCATGATGTTAACACCAACCAAGCTACTCTTTTTTGTGGCCCCCCAAGGCTGCAGAATTATAAGTAAAAGGGATGGAAGGAAATTCAAATATGTAACCTGCAGCAGTGTGGGTGTTGTCCAGTGGCAGCTGACATGAGGAGGTATCTTACTACTTCAGCTGTCGCCATCCAGGCAAAAGCATCAGTAGAAGAGTTTGTGGGAGAGGGCAGCATTAATGCAGTTCTCTCCTGCCACCGAGGTGGGGATGTAGCAGGGGCAGTACTGCAGAGCAGGCTGACTATAGGCAGAATGTCTAAGTACTTGAGTGAAAACCTTTTTCTGCCTGTAAAGCTCTGTAATAGATTTACCTTGGTTTTGCTGGCTGAAATCCAAAGCCAGCATTAGACATTCATGTTGGAGATTGTCTTTTAATCACTGCAGCATTCCTAGCCTGTGCAATGTTTACATCAGATGTGTTCTGTGTTGTGCCTTTCAGAGAGCATAGTTCCCTAACATACGGATTGGGAATGTGGGTTTACTGTTTAGTAACCATGTTTTCCCTGCCCAGAAGGGAGAATGTGCTAGATTGACGGGGCTGTTGAGAGAGGAGGGAGGGGTGTCCTGCTGCCATAGACTGTTTCCCCCCAAAACTATGGAGAGGAGGGGGCATGTTTTGGGAAGCATGGCAGAGATAGCATGCATAGCAGTGGCACCACTCCCCAGGAGTCCTGCAGGATCCCTTCAGCTTCATCCTCACCTCACCACTGTGCTGGTCCTTTGCTTCAGCAGCACAAACCCCACTGTGTCATTAGTCTGTCTGGAGACTCTGCTATGCCTGAGAGGGGAAAAAAAGGAGCCCCTGGGTCAGATATTTCTCTCCCCTGTCAGGCCCCCCACCATATCTGTGATGCCGTGTGGCTCTGCACCCATAAGGGTTCACTGTTCTGAGCCGCATTAAGCATCCATTGCAGACAGGGCAGCACATGTAGACCCAGGCATGGCTTAAAGCTAAAGGGAAAAACGGGCTTATGTGGCCAAACATCAGCCACCCACTGATTCTGCCTCCCTTGCAGGGGATGCCTGGTGCTGAGCTGAGTTGCTCAGCCTTGAACAAGAGCCAAGGCCACTGCCAGAGTATACTGAGGAGTGTAATAAAACTGATACCAGGAACAGTTTCAACATGTCCAACCTTAAAGGGGGAAGCTCAGGGTAATCTCCCAGCTTTGACTCACTGTGTACCGAGTTGGTCGTTCCCATGCTTCCTCTGCAGATCAGACAGATAGATCACCAAATGCCCAGGCAGGATGTATGGATACATTTAATGCAACCCCCATTCAAAAGAGGTTAAACTGATTAAAATTCCTATGAGTTTTAAAGTTGCAAGTTAGCCAGAAGAGAGTCTAATTAAGAGAGGATTTATTAAGGAGCACACTAAAAAGGCAACTGCAGCTGACCTCACCAGTAAGTCCATGCCTGCCTGGACAGCACAAGGGAGTCTTCTTGGGAACCTGTTACTCAACTTCTTTACCAGGTACACGAGAAGCACTTTAATACATAAACATTGAGCACATTTTTCTTGTCCCTCTGATGTTTCAGGTTTTGTTTCCTTCTTTACCACTTAAGGCCTATTTGAATAATGCTTTGGGGTTATTACTTCATTTTTCATGCAAGAGAAAAGAAAAAAAGAAGGCCACTCTTGTCAAGGTTTTAAATAGCTCTGCGCTGAAACGTGATGGTAGCAGGCAGCAGTAGCATTAAAATGATACTGACTGTGTTCTCATGAACCATTTGCTATCTTTCATTGTTGCTGCCCTCTTTTCTTTCTTCCAGGTAGAGAATTCTAGAAGAATGTTAAAACATATAAAAAATAATCTTGGCTTTAATAATATACTCTGCTGATTCATTTGCCTCGGGAGGTGTAGTTAGTAATTAATTAGCACAGCAGACTAATGTGCTTTGTACCAATATCACTCATAAAGCTGCTGTCACCCAGGTCCAGGCCTGTGTCCCTAGCAATCGCCCATCAGGAGTCAAGGCCAATGCTGCACCAGGAATCGTTTGGGGTGGAGGTAGGCTGGTGTCTGCCTGCCTCCCCCTGCCACACCACTCACGAACTCTGGCAGGAGCCTCCCTCTGAACTCCGTTGTGCAGCTTTCTGAAGGTCGAAAGGGGTAATGCTTTCAGGCCAAATAACTAAGGAAGGACACGTAAATTCTGGAGCTATGCAACATTAGAGCTCAGTTTTTGCTATGTTCCTTTGCGATAATAAAAAATTGTAAAACTCTTTGTCTAAGACATTGCAAAGCCATTCAAGCCCTTTGCAGCCTCAGCTTGAGAGTACCGTCCCAGGCTAACACACCTCAGGAAGGCAAAGAGCCTCTAAATCTCATGTTATTTGGCAGCAAGACTTTTTGGTGGGATAGGCATCACCCTGTCAGCTGCTGCTGCCTGCCCATGTGCTGTCACGCAGAGCATAACACAACAGGCAGGGCGGTTGCAGGTTGAAGTGGATCCCCCTATTCTACCCTCTGCAAAGCGAGAAATAAACAGGCTTTGTCTGTCAGGCAGTACCTAACTCCAGCAGCAGTGCTGGATCCCTGCAAGTCCACAATGTTTTCAACTGTAATAGGAAGACCCACAAGGTTTAGGTCTTTGTCCTCTGTTCTTGTGTTGG